CTAGTGGTCACTGATGAATCATGCAATGCCCCTAATCTACGGTGAGACAAGGTGAAACTAAGCCGAACTACACCGAAAACGCTGTACACTATATGCGCAGCCAGCAGGGCGCGGGCCCATATCCAGGACAAGGACTGAAGTCCTCGCCTGGTATCTGGCGTGATCTGTGTACATTTCTGTACAAGTCTATGGCTCGCACGTTCCTTTCGCACATATGCTCAATGGTCGTTGGGGTGGTCATCATTTTGCCCATCATAAGTATCAGAGTCTTCTCCATCCGGAGGGAGTAGATTGATCCATTTTGGGATTGCAAAGTGAGTGCGCAATGCAAAGGTGTTGCTTTCTGCATAGGGCCCTCGCCAGATGGTTGGCTTGCTCATTTGCGTAAATTGAGTTAGTTGACCACAGTCGAAGAAAGCTCTATGAGCAATGTACTGAAGTGTAGGCGGAATGTGTATCTCTTTAAGGGCAGTGCAGAACATAAAGGCTTCTTTGCCCATGCGCCTCAAATTGGTTGGAAGCCAAGATTCACGCAATGCGAGAAAGTAGATCCCCAGATGGCGTCAATCAGAGTACTGGACAGGTCCACAAAGGCAAGTTGCTTGCAATTTTCACAGGCTAGTGGCCCTAGGAAGTTGAAATCTGACGGGAACTTTAGGTATTCGACGCCCGAAGAACTGAAACTTCCTTCTGGTATTCCTCGAGTGAGTGCTGAGCCTAACTGCGTTCTTGCTTCTGTAACAGTTTGGATGGTTTGGGCAAAGTCCACTTGGGATAGTGCAAGACAGCTTTCGAAGACATATGGGGAGATTTGGACCCCTGGGGCAAGTTCATTGGTCTCTCCTTCATCGGCGCCGATGTACCGAAGCGAGCAGCATTCTGCAAAGGCTCGACGACCAAAGCTCAAGCGCCCGGGGGCCACTACTTGTGTTAATGCGTAGCAGCCTTGGAAGGTACCTTCTTTGATGCATACTACAGTGGCAGGTAGTCTTACGAGTTGGAGCTGGTGGCAGCTTTGCCATGCCGCTGCTCCAATTGTATGAATGCCAGTCTCGACTAGGACACGCCCCACTCGTGGGACCGAGTAAAAAGCATTGTCTGGAACAGTGCCAGTGGCAATGGCTGGAATTATGATGGCCCTTGGGCAAACTCGGTCACTAGTTTCCTGAAGTTGTCGTTTGTGCTCCATACTTACAAAGCAGTTTCTGACCACCAAATTGAAACGAGTGCAGAGCCGCAGGGTGTCCCATATAGGGTCCTTTAGAAGCTTCTGAGTGCTTGGATGGACGAAGTCGAGCTCACATCCAAAGGTGGCGATTTGGCTGACGGTAGGCAGGCACTCCACCACTGCATCTTCAAGCTCGTCTAGCGTGTCGTCCTCACGAATCTCAACTGGCCGGCCGGGGTGCAAACTTGAGAGGGACACGCAGCTGCCATGGGGGATACAAGTGCAGGCACTTGTCGTGGTGCGGGACCCTTCGCGCTTGAGCCAATGTCACATTGCAGTGGCCTTTGTGAACAGGTCACTCGTGGAGGCAAGGTTCACTTTCAAGGACACTTCAAACAACAAGCAAAGAACAAGCGCAATCAGATTTGAGTGGGACTTCTTATCACTCGGAATCACGAAATGAAGTCACAACCGTGGGGCAAAAGGGACAGTGACTGAGGTCACCGCCGATGGCTGTCTGCCGGTGCAGTTTTGTTCACTACACGGCACAGGGTCCTAGGAGAGTGCTTGTTGAACTATTCATCCGGGTATTCTTTGTCCGGTGGGAGGTGATTGATCCACCTAGGGATTTCTAGCCAAGAGCACAATTCAAAGGGGCCACTTTTCCGCATAGCCCCTCTCCAGGTGGTCCTCTTACCTTGTCGAAGGTTAAGCTGCAGTAATCGACTACAGTTAGCAAAGGCCTTATGTGCAGTATACCTCAGCGCTGGTGGGACGTCAACAATCTCAAGGGCCTCACAGTCCGCAAAAGCTTCCGCATGTATCTCCTGCAAGGTAGACGGGAGTCGAACTTGCGCGAGGCCCACACAGTGCGAGAAGGTGTGCTTGCTGATGGCCTTGAGCATGGTAATGGAAAGATCAACGCAAACAAGATGCTTGCAGTTTTCGCACGCCTGAGGGCCAATGAAGTTGACTTCTGCCGGGAGGAGTAGGCTTGCTAATCCAGACGAGTGAAAACAGCCTTGCGGTATTCCTCTGTATGGAGGCGGCAGCGGAGGGATCTTCGGCCGTGTCAAGACCTGAGGAAGGGTGATTTGGGAGAGCCTTAAACATTTTTCAAAGGCGTATGGGGCCAGGGTTGCTCCAGGTGCCAGGACATTGGCGCCGTTGTCAATTGCTCCACCCTGCTGCAACGCACAGCATTCAGCAAAGGCTCGGACGCCATAGTCGACGCATCCTGGTGCAACAACTGTGACAAGCGCAAAAAGTCCTTGAAAAGTGGCTTGCTGTATGGACAACACCGTCTTAGGGAGTTTGACAATCTGCAACTGATAGCAGTTCTGCCATGCTTCATATCCGACAGTGTGCAGATTAGGCTCCGCCCACTCCGCGCCTGAATGATGAACTGCTGATGGCCTACCGAGCTCCTGATCTTCTTTTGAATGGGCGACTCCCTGAATATGGAGAGCATGCTATGACCACAGACTCAAAGCAATAGTTGCTCTTGTTGGCAAAGATCTGCTGATGACCCCACTCGCGATAGAGAAGTTAGAGAAAGTTGGGGCAACTGCGACCTGGCTTCTCTGAGCAAAGGAGATGTTAGGCTGCTATGGGCATCAAATTGGCTGCGTTTGCTTTTTGGGCTCTCCAATCCACAATCTACCTTTTGGACTTCATGGAGCTCGGTCCCATGGACTTCGATGGACTCTGGAGGGAACTGACTCTCCTTCCAAAGCACATCAACTCTCAGCCCTCTTCTCTGTTTTGGATTTCGATGGCACTCTTGGCTACCTGGGGAAGGTCCTCATTCCTCAGTTCTTGGCCTCTCTCTTGGATTTTTATTGTCTCCCATGCACTACACCCCTGATTTTCCTCGTAGCGTTTGTCGCCGGCCTGGTAGGTTGTCATGGCATGATTGCGCCCCGTACACCAGGTGACTGGACAAGACAAGGAAGCAGAAAGCTAAGGCCTCCTTTGCCTGCTGGGAGGCCTGTGACAGATGCTACTGCTGGAAACAGAGAACGCCTCATTCGCGACTTCTTTTGCTGGTGCGCTCGAACTGGTTGGAACATTGAGCAGCTGCTTCTTGAACTTTTGAAGAATGTTGAACAAATCAACCGAGTGCTGCAACTGTTTGGACGACGCTTGTATGAAGCTGGGAAACCCTACAGCGCATACATTGAATCCATAAACAGCATTGTTTCATATAGACCAGTTCTACGCAGACAACTTCAACCAGCTTGGGACCTGGTTTTTGCTTGGGTACGGGGCGAGCGCCCTGTACACCATTTGGCTACGCCATGGCAGATACTCCCGACCATGCTTTCAGTTGCTCTGGCCTGGGGCTGGGTCGAAGTTGCTGGAGTCCTCTCCTTACGATGGGGTGCTTTGTTGAGGACCTCTCAAATGACTGGCGCTTTTAGAAAGGACTTGCTGCTGCCCTCTGACACGCTGGGCACGAACAACTTTTTACTGCTGTCCCTGCAGGAACCGAAAACTAGATTTGTTGCTGCTAGGCATCAATATGCCAAGTGTGACATTGGTGATTTGGTGAGAGTTTGTGAGCTGGCCTTCAAAGATACCCCCAGAATGTCAAAGATTTGGCCTTTTTCTTCACACACGTTCAGGCTGCGCTTTAAAGACCTACTAGGTGCATTGCAATTGCAAACCGGTGCTTGTCAGGGTCGGAAGAGCTTGTTGGACGTCGGGTCTTTACGACCCGGCGGCGCAACTTGGCAATTGCAGGTCACTGAAAATGCAAGCTTTGTGCAGCACTGGGGACGTTGGATAAATGCAAAGGTTATGGAGATTTATATTCAGGAAGTTGGGTCGACTCAATATCTCTTGCAGCTCACTGATGAGCAACGGAAACTGGTTGTTGGGATGGCAAAGTTGTTCCCAGCGTTGTTCGAACGTGCTGAAGCCTTTCGAAAAGCTTCCATACCACCTTCCCTATGGTTTCCCGTGATAAGTAGAGACAAGCCTGGTGGCTGAACAGCTGGGAAAGTTTGGGTCGAAGGCCTTGGAGGCCTAGAAACTGCGCACCCTTGAAGCAGCAGAGTGAAAAGAAGATGGGCGCCACCGAAGCCTTGTCCTTGTCAAGTGGCCCACCCGCCCGGCCCTTGCTCCTCATCACGGGTCGAAGGCCTTGGAGGTCTAGAAACTGTGCACCCTTGAAGCAGCAGAGTGAAAAGAAGATGGCGCCGCCGAAGCTTTATATAACTTATATAACTTACATTTTTGGTCATGGCCTAACTAATTGACGTAACTTAACAAGTAACTAGCAGTGGTTAAGGGTGAGCGCTAATTGATGCCTGGCCGTAGTGGACGCTTGACGTTTCACTGTGGACGATGTTTGGCCCTGGTAGGCCATCGTCCGCGAGCAATCTTACACACTTGCTCCAGCAATCTGGTCATTTCTGACAAACAAACACTTGGCGAGTCCTTTAAGGTTCGAGAAAATTTGATACATCAGTAAGCTTTGAAATAGGGGAGGTATTGCAATTTCCTGCAGCAGCATGTGGCAGAATTAAGGATTTGTGGCGCCGAAACATGAGATCCTCCTGAAAAATGTTTTGTCGCCAAACCACCCTGCATTGACTTATATTGAAGTTGGCTATTTTTGCAGCTCAAACGTCAAAACAGTCAGTTTGCTGCAAACTCCTTGTGCAAATGGAAGACCAACCCAGCACGATGGTGCCGATGTTTTGGGGAAGATCAAGATTATTTTAAAAAGCGGTTGTGGACACCGGTGTTTCCCTGATGACAGGCTGTGCGTTTACGAGCAAGTTGATGACTCCAAAACCGGTTGAATCTTGACCTGAAATCTGAATCCCATGTGGCATTGCTTGTACAAAGCCTTCATCCTCTGAAGCCATGCCTTCTGCATCCTCGTTTCGCTGCCATCCATGTGCAAGGCACGGATTGCCAGAATGTGTTCTGGAACGAGCCGACATGCTGGAAGGGAAAACAGCCCCTTGCCATGGTGTTAGCAGTTGCACTTTTTGGGCCTTCATGATACTTGCAAGCGGCTTCCAGTGGCATTTTCCAACACACTGCGATTCAGGAATTTACAAGGCAACTACATGGCCAAACTGACAATGTCACCCCGATCCTGGCTGCCCATGGTGTGAAATTGCCTACAGCGGATTTTGCCTCATCGCTGCCCAAGGACAGGTCTTGAGCAAATCTGTACTTTTCCACAACTTTATTGTTTCCTTCTCGATTGGCAAATCATGTCAGGCTAAAGATGTGACTCCAGCAGAAGCAGCCGCTGCATTCGGCTACGTCTCAAGCCCCAGCTTGGCAAAACAGATAAACAGGCCATCAGAAGTAGTTGAGACAGCTTGGCAAAGTTGAGATTTTGCAAGCAGCAACCCGTCTGTGGAGGCTGATGCGAGCTCAAAGTTGGAGCGCATTAATGTCAGAGAGTCTCGTTTGTACTGCAAAGTTGTCTCCTTTCAGTTGTTGAGGTGTTGGTTCTTGCTACAATAGATCGAAAGATGTGAAGTTATGGCTTACCGTCATACTCGTCATGTTTGGTTGAATTCTGCATAATTGCATCCTATGACTGCGCTGTTTGTCGCTGCAGGTTTGGTCCGGTGGTCAAATCGCTCTGCAGCTACATTGAGAAATTAGAATCAAGCTACGCCGCAAAGCGCACTCTCTACAGAGGGATGCAACTCTCCCAGCAGCACCTGCAAGACAACTATGTTGTGGGCAAAGTTGTAACCTGGAATGCTTTTGCCAGCGTCACTACCAATCGTCAGTTGGCTGAGACTTACAGCTGCGAAAGCTATGACCGTGGTTTCTTTCTGGATTCGGGGGTTCCTGTGGTCTTCATCATTGGCACGCAATTCAGAGGAGCTCTACTTGGTGGGTGGTCACCTTATCCGTCTCATGAAGAGCTGCTGCTATCGCCCTTTTTGGGTTTCAGAGTGACGTCTGTGGGCTTGGAACCATCGGGAACTGACCACACACGAGTCCGGACCTCAGATTGTTCTGCGACACAATGTCCTTTGATAAAAGAACCATAGCTGTCACAAGCTGGAGTGCAGGTAGTCAAGATGGAAGCAGTGAAATTACCTCGTTCATGGGCAGAAACTGCACCTGATCGGCTCGTTCTTCTTCATCCTGGCAGCATGCCATGGGCAGCCCAACCCAAAGAGGCAATTTGGACCAAATGCACAATCTGCACACAACGGCAGGGCTTGATATTATCCTTTACAAGAACGGCAGGGCTATGTGTTGGTACATTGCCGAATAATTCCATGGGCAACAGCACCTTTGTATTGTCATACATGCTTTGACGGCTGCAAAAGCTAGGAAAACAGATCAGCAATGTAGTTCTTCATTGTTTATGTTTGGACCTGGCAGGTGTTGTCTGAATTGGAAGAGGATTTGGATGAAGCCGTGAAGAAGAAATTGGATCCACCTGGTGGCTTGCTGCAGAGAGTATTTGCCTCTTGCTTTGCGAGGTCATCTATCGGTTTCTTCTCTTGGTCTTGGAATTGCACAAACATCGAAGTTGCAGTCAGATTGATCATCGCATTTTTTGTAATTTCTGTAACTGAGTTTCTATGCCACAATTTTCCAGGGAGTGGTCTTGACTTTACTAGTCACTAGATGTGAAGTAAGCTTTTGATGCTTGTGCAGCAACTCAGGTGCCTTCTTGCTGTCGGTCGTTGTTGGCCTCATCAACGCCTCGTTGCTGTTCTTGCTGCTTGCTTTGAAACTTCAGGAAGACAACCTTTTTCTTCTTAAGCGGTCGAATTGAGAAGTCCATTTCGCGTAGCCATGGTAACTTTTTCATCCGCTTTTGACATTATGTTTACTCCACGAAAAAAGTAAAAGGCACAGGGTTTTTGAGTTGCGCCATCTACTTGGCATTGTACGCTCCTTGAGTTGCGCCATCTACTCCACACAAGGGATGCCAAGCAAAAACGGCACGAGTAGACTCGATCAAAGGCGATTGTTGAAATCGAGCCGTCCCGATTTTTTTGTCTTAAGGTTGAATTTGGGAAAAACAGGTGGTTTTTGTCAGGTTTCGTGATTTTTTAGTATTCGTTCACCCATCGTCTGCAAAGCTAAATCATGAGGGAGTAGATGGCTCAATACTTTTTAGAGGGGCAAGAGTGCATATCATGGAATGGCCTCATCTTTGCAAAGAATCATGAACTTACAGTAGCATTAGCATTTGTCTAGTGACTGGCAATGCAAGTAGATGGCGCAATGTTTCAAGATCTCATCAGTCACGGATCCATAACCGCGATTTTTGGCAGTGGTCTGAATTTGACGTTTGGGTAGGGTAGATGGCGCTCTCCGCATGATTGGAGTTGCGCCTCTTACTTTTTTCGCGGTGTATATAAATATATGTCTAAGTATGATCCGTTGTTGGATTTCTTTTATTCAAAGTCTAGATTTGACATAACGATTAAATGTATCTTTCGTTGCGGCCGTCTTTGGAGTCTTTTACTCTGTGTTGATCAAGCCCGACAGACCTCGGGGATTAGGAAAAGCGCGTATGTTGCTGAGCATTACTCTTCGGGTATAGTGATCTCAGAATCACTCAAGCTTAAGAGACAAAACTATCCCATTCAAGGTGCTGTGGTGGTAAGAACCCAGCTACCTTATTTTGGGTCGAAGGACAGCTGTACTGCTTCAGTCCTGGCACCTGAGATCCAATCACATACACTTTACTTGTTGACTGCCGGACTGCGTCAGTGTGGAGTTTCTCAGCAGTGGGTGCAAGTGATGCAAGCTTTGGCCTTGAGACAAGAGCAACTTTAGCAAGCAATGGCCGCAGCATTCAACCAACAGACAGCTATCAATGGAGACATCCAGGCAAATGTCGCATTTTCGAGACCGGTCAGAACTCAAAGGACGAGAAACTCAGTGGACAGACGCAAACGTGTGGGTTCGGTGGCAGTTGAAGAGCGAGACGTGGGTTTAAATGTCTCGATGTGGGCTTCCTTGATGGAGCCGGGCTGGTTTCACGCCAAGTGATGATGTGAAGGTGAAGGCTTGGAGATTGTCAAGAACACATCACGTCGCTCTGATTTTGGATTGGAAGCTGTAGGTTAGTCACCAAGTGTGGGTGTGACCGGACTTGCAGAGCTGCAGAGCTCCAGGCTGACAGCCTGCGACCTAATGAAGGCCGATCTCGAAAACATCGATGGGAAAGTTGAGCCGATTAGTTGGGTTGCCCGTCCATCGACAGTGGCAATTTTTCCCGTAGCCGATGTGGTGCAAGCGCCATTCCTCCTCTACACAGACCTTGCGATCACACATTTGTTGTGCGTTGTAGTTCCGCTGTTGTCCTGCAAAGCAAACGGGCCAACGGGTGTTGATGTTCTGCTGTCTCACAAATTGCAGCATGAGGTGCACATGCGCTCAGTTTTGCATCTCTCCAGAGGCCCGTGCCAGGGCTTCACCTGCCATGCAGCTGTGAAGACGACAAGCCGACGCCTTTGCTCACTTGAGCCTTTTTGTGAGAAGTTCTGTTCCCAACCAGCCTTTGTTGCGCGCAAGTTCCGAAGCTCATCATCAGCCTCAGAAGAATCAGGTTTAATAATGTCTCTAAGTGGACATCATTCTGCATAAAAACAAGTGCACACATGCACGTGAAAGAGTTTAACGTACAAGTTCAGCCGCCGAGTGGAATGTGCCAGGCAAAGTCGTTAAACCTACTCCTGCACATCGCTCGTGTGCTTGCACCCCACTCGTTCACAGCTGCTGGTATCATAGTCGCACATGTCTAGGCCAGATCCGATTTGCGAATGTTAAAGTGTAGGTCAGTTTCCAACTTCACAGAAGGTGACAGTTGAGCCCCACGTTGGCCACGCGGAAAGGATTGCTTATACAATCTGACTGTGAAAGAAAGACCCACGTTCCGGGTTCAAGGAAAATTATCAAGAGCCTGCGGTATCCTTGCAGTAGCTTCTGTGCTACAGGCGCAGCCAAGTTAACAGCGGCTCCAAACCAGCAGACCTGCAAACTGCATGTGGCAGAGTGTTAAGGCGCGGACATGAATAATCTTTTAATGTAAAACACGTACGCTTTAATTATGCAAAGTCGATATTGTGCTACATACGTGCACACCTACTCGCACACCGTTACTCATACATATTTGCCTATTTGTGCGCTCACTCGCACATCGTTTGGTAGTCCTATTCCTAAATATTTGCACAAATTTCACTGGTACACATGTAAACCCTCACATGTCCACCACGTGGGTGAAACCTAGTGTTTTTCGTTTGCGTGGCTGTGTGTTTAGCTGAAATGTAAAAATTAAAGTGCTTTGGAAAGACAATATTGACTGTGTGAGGTGGCACATCGTGTAGGATTGACAGAGGAAAGGTTTTCAGTTTGGACATTTCAAGAAGAAAGGCTTTCTATTTTGTGGTGTATGCAAGTTTGTTGTATTGTTGATATATTCTAACTACAGAAAAAACAAACATATATATATATATATATATTTGTGTTTCTGTCACATCCAAGGTATGTGCTTGGATACGATTTGGATGATTTTGCAATTTCGAAGCAAGGGTAAATTGAATCGGAGGATTTGACAATACCGTTGGCATTTGTTTCGTTTGGAAGCTGTGTGTGGGACGTAGGGTTTGCGGGGAAAGGCCTGCTGCAGTAACTCTCAACCAAAGCTCGGCGAGAGAAGCTGGTCAAGCCGACGAAAGCAGGTCCTGACTGTAAAAGTGCGAAGTGAAGTGTGCAGTGCATGTCGGTTTTGTTTGCAGAGTCACTCGTTGCTGCTTTTTGTTTGTGACTGCAATTTAGACCTTTGGCCACAAGGACAAGATCAGTTGTACCATTGTAGCAAGTGCTTAGCGGTGCGAGCACTTTTAAAGTCTTCCCATTTTTTAAATCAAACTGGGGTTTGCAAACTGGACAAACATTGAAATCAATTGACATCTACTCTTTAGGGTTATGTAATCGATTCGTGAATGGCCACGAAGTAATGTCATCCTTGCCTGCAGGACCCGACTTTAATGAAATGGTTGTGTTGCATCAAAACGTTTGTGGTGCTAATGCAAAGGTACTGAAAACTGGTCCTGAATTGTCACAAGCTTGAAAGACTAGTGACTAGTGCAGCTTGCAAGGACACCCTGCGGCAAATTCCATGACAGCTCTCGGGACTGCAAGGTTTGCATCCAAGTCAACGGAGATTTGGCAGTCGCCGCCTCTTTCAGATTCTTTCTTTTCAGGTATCCGACTGCATATCAGAATGGCAGCGTTGTCGTACCTGCCGTGCGACAAGGGCAGGCTCCGTATGGAGGACGCTGAATGCTGATTGCAGTAGGTCCAGGTTCGGTGCTATTCATACACTGGGGTGCCGAAATTTGCGCTTCTTGACTTCTAAAACGTAGCAACATTTATCATTATTAGTCTTAAACACAAGGCTCATACCTAGTAACAACGCAGGGTGTCTTTTGTGTTTTTCAGAAGGTGCTGGAAATATATATGTGTACTTATGTATGATATTCCAATGTTTGTTCTTAACTTTACAGCAGGACAACGTTTATGTCGAACCTAACAACATTTATAATTATTAGTTTTAAACGCAAGGCTCATACCCAGTAACAACGCACTGGGGTGCCGAAGTTGCGTTTCTTGACTTCTAAAACGGGACAACCCCTTTCCCCTTAGAATCCTACATGCAACATGTCGACACCTAAGTTGCGGTCAGATTCCCACACCTGAAAGCCTTATACACCGGTGAAAACTAAAATTTTTGCAAAAACATTGGGCGTATGTTAGTCTAGTTTCGGAGCGGATACCGTTGAGACTAACCTAGACCAAATTCCGATGTGCCATGGTGGGCCATACGGGTATTTGGCATGGTCTATGTTAGCCTCCACCGGGCTATGTTGACCTCTACCGGCGCGGTCTATGTTAGCCTGCGTTCCGCTTATAGTCAGATTGCACTTGGTCCATGTTAGTGTCAAACTCGATCATAGGCTGAGAGTGGGAAGGGTCCATGTTAGTCAGAGTCCAGAAATTGGCCAAAAAAGCATTAATACCGCTTCCTGGGGTTGAAATTCACCTCATCCCCATGGACCCCGTAGCGTGTACTCTCAAGGTAGAGTGAAAAGGACGCTTAGCGGTAGTACAGGGTTAGCTAGGTTATCTAGTAGAATCAGAGCTGATCCTGTAAAATACAGGTTATCAGCCGTAGGCTAACTAGAGTAGAGCTATGGACCCGATGGACGATGACGTCGCACCGAACGCCTACGGAAGTGGTTTTTACATTATTCCAAGTTTACCCAATAGTTTGGATGCAGCTCAAAGACATGAGCAGGCAGTTGCTCAGGTGGCAGCAATGGATCCAAGGGTAGCTTCGGCGGTATACCAACAGATGCTAGACAGTGGTGGCAGTGTTACTCTCCAAGAAGCAACACGAGCTACCCTAGCAGGTATGCGTCAGCCACCGTAACGGGTGCGCCAGCTGTAAACAACATGTTGGCAATGACTCGGTTCAACGTCGTCAATGTTAATACATCAACAGTTGATGAAGAACTACGACGGGAACTACAACATGAGTTTTTACTCAGTGAGCAAGCCAGGAGGGAAGCAGAACTCGAAGCATTGCGTTTTAGGCAAATATATGAAAGAGAAGCTTCCGAATCCATCGCAGCAAAAAAAGTTGCGGCAGAGCTAGCAATGCAGAATGTCCAGCAAAGGGCTCAACAGCAGGAACAAAGTGTTCAGCAAATGGCTCAACAGCAAGACAAAGTTGCGATCAAACGGTTGCAAGGTACATTGGAAGAGCAGCGGGAACATTTCCAGCAACGGTTAGCTCAGGCAACTATGGCTCACGACAAGGTTGTACAAGAGAGGGATGCCTTGGCAGCAGAAGGCAATGTGTTTGTTGAAAGGTTGAAATCAGAACATCGTCAGTATGTCGAGCAGCATGAATCTAGATTCAAGGCGGCAGTAGAGGCAACAGAGCAAGCCAGGTCTACATCAGCCGAAGAAGCCAGTAAAGTTATAGATCTAGAACTCAAGCGCGAAGAACTGACAAGTTCATTGGCAATTGCACAAGCCAAAATCAAGTCGCTTCTTAGCGAAATGGAAGCAGCCAAGAAGCAGAACGATTTTGACAAGGAGTATCAAGAGCAAACCATTGTTGAACTAAGGAAGGACAATGCAATGTTGAAAGGTGAAATGGATGAGCTCAGACGTGTTGTGCAAGCGCTATCAAATGCAAACAAGGAAGAACAGCGCAAGGAAGCAGAGCGCAAGGCGCAAGCCGAAAGCCCTGTTAAACCAGGGCCGCAACATCCTGAGCCACCTCCACCTGATGCTCAAGCTGATACTTTCCCTATTGGTCAACCTCGTTCACTTGGACCTCTTCGTACGGAAGGCTCAATTCCAGCAACCGTAGAAGGTTCGCCCCCAGATGTTGGCGGAATTCCCGTAAAGACAGCAATGGATGCAAAAGCAGCCAATCGCAATACAGGATTTGCCTCAATGTTTTCTGGAACAGGGGCGGCTGCAACAGAACAAGCTACAGCTTCGACGGGTTACAGAAATTTTGAACCATCTGAGCCTTGGGCAGACTACCGGAAGAAGTCGGCGCAGTACAACTTCAGCGATGACCCTTTGTTCAAAGGCTCCTTTAACCAGGATGCTAAACTTGAAACCAACAAGTTAGCCACAGTCTATAGGCCTCCACTATGTCAAAAATATGATAAAAATGCGACCCTGAAATGCGATTTTTATAACAGGCACCTTGAAAAATGTGACTTGCTTAATTCACATTTTTTTAATGAAAGTGTATGTTGAAAAATGTAAAGAGTGCATTCAAAGGAAAGTGTTACATTTTGGTGAGCTCTCTTATGGGGATTCTAGGTGTTGTGACCAAATCAACAAACAAACCCGCAAAAATTGCAACAGAAAGGGGAACTTGTATTTGTTGTGATCATCCTTTTAACCTAGGACCTAGGGCTAGGGATATGGCGCTTAGGTTTGCTCCTTCAAACTTAAAACGAGACAAGTCTTAACTCGCCCCCCCCCCAAGAACCCTCGCCCACACCAACTTTGAATTGCATTCCTCCTTCTTCTGGTTAAGCCGGTTAAGCGTTTAATTAGCCGCTAGCCTTGTCAAGTTAGAGGTTTGAGTGTTCATGGGGAGCTTGCCATAACCATTGTGCAAGTTCAAGCCCTAAGCCCTAAACCCTAAACGTTGAGACCTTTATGGCAAAAAATGGGCAGCATTTTGTTTATTTTGCATTTTTAAAACAAGAGCGCTGGAAACCGCACAAAGTTTACATTTTCAAAAAAATGCGAAAAAATACGATTTGACATTTACATTTTTTGTAAATTAAAAAATGCAAAAAAATACGAAAAATACGAAAAAACAAAAAATGCGAAAAACACATGCGAAATATTAAAAAACGAAATGCACAAAAAAAAACGAAAAAATACGAAAAAAACGAAAAAAAGCGAACCAAAAACGAAAAAAATGCGAAAACACAAAGCAAACAAAAAAAGTACGACCTTAATTTATATAAATTTTTCATATATTTTAAAATTACGAAAAAAATGCGAAATCAATATTACATTTTTTCATATTTCTCAAAAATGCACAGCAAGTTTGATTCAAATTTCATGTTTTTTCATATGTTTGTCGCGGGCTCTGTCGACCTAAGCGCTCAATACTCATTGTAGGCTCTTAATTTATGTTGACTTTTCTATTATTTTATTCACGTCGCTTCGCGACGGTAACCGCCCGCACCGCATGGGAGGGCTCAAAGACTGCAGTCATGCTCCAGGAACGGGTCAAGGTAGGTACTTCCATTGAACATAGCCCCAGAAGTCACCCCCCCCCAACGTGGCCGAACATAGCTTCCATATTGCCTAACATAGCGCTAGAATGTGGGAACGTCGCAAATTGGTGTATCTTTTCCGCAGGTAGCTCGAGACGTTCGCCGGATATTTGGCTCAACAGGAGCAGAGATAAGGAACGGTAACATTTTCTAACGAGGGCTCAAAAGGGAATGTGACTTGCTTAATTCACAATTCTGGCTGACTGACAAAGCTCTTGAAGTGGTTGACCGCTGAACTTCCAGACAAGGTAGTTGACTGAGAACACCACAAAAACAGCTGAAAACGTTACGTGTGGCAGTTGCATTTTTTGTACATTTTTTCATATTTTTAATTCTATAGAGGTCCATAGACTGTGGCTGGCTCCGCCGGTTTCAACGCTAAACAAAACAAAGATGACCGCAAAGATGAAGGGCCGGCATCTCAGGTGCGAACTCGCCAAGAACAAGACCTAGGTGAAATCATTAAGAAAGCCTTGCTAGAGGGGTTTAAAGGCGCCAAAGGCAAAGACCAGGATAAACCCAAAGCAAAAGAGGCAGACAAAATAGACCTTCCCGAATTCCCAAGTCCTGACAGGTACCGCACTTGGAGGGCCGCAGTTTGCGAAGCGATTCGGTCCGCGTCCGATGACCCAGATGCGGCGTTCGTGTGGGTGCTTGAAGTCTACGCCGTTCGGGAGGACAAAGCTAAGCTTTGTTCCGAGCTGGCTGACCCAGGCAAGTTTCGGACCTTAGACACGAAACTCTTTGCTGCTTTGACTATGGTCGCCAAAGGTGAACTGTCTCAGCAAATTCTTAATTACAAGGAATCTGAGGCACAGCAGGGTAGGATCGTCTGTGGTCGTCAGGCCTCATGTTTGAAGTCCGAGTCCATTTCAAAACTAGTGAAGAAGCGGGTGCATTGTATGGTACTGAGGACCTCCTAAAAATCTCGCTTGATA